GAACAGAGGTGAACTGAGGAGGAGGGAGCTCTGGATGCAGACGCATGCCCTGAGGGAAGGGACAGCTGGTGGTAGTGCCACCACCATCCCTCCTCCAGAGGATGTTCCTGCATGAAATCTGTTATTTCTGTACCCTCCAGCTGCAAATGTGCTCCTGGTGTCCCCCAGATGTTGCTGGCTTCACCTCCTTTCTCTGTTGGGGGGCTTTATATTAGCCCTCTTGTCCTGCCATGCTGAACACCATCCCCATCACTGGCCCTAACCCTCATTTCTATGCTTGGGAGCAGATGCCACTTGAAAACTCTGAAGCCTGGAAATGGTTATTGAGAGGGGAGGGAGGATCCAAAAGCCTTTCTATCACTCAGTATCACCTCAGCCTCCCTCCCTCCCGGCCAGCTCTGACTCTCCCTGCGTTTCCTCCCCAGGCATTTATGTCATTGGCTTCAGCTACCCCGTGGTCCCCAAGGGAAAGGCCCGGATCCGGGTCCAGATCTCAGCCGTGCACAGCGACGAGGACATCGACCGCTGCGTGGAAGCCTTCACCGAAGTGGGACGGAAACATGGAGCGCTGCCTTGAGGGGCCAGCAAACACCTCCTCCGGCACCCTTCCTGCCCATGACCAAGTGCCTGTGCTGGAGCAAAAGGCTTTAGCAGCATGCTGCCGAAAGCAGGACCGGTTCTCAAGGCATCACAGCCTGTGAGAGGCTGTGGCTGTTGCAGTGTGCTGGCAGCGGCACTGGCAACCAGCTCTTGTGTCATTAAAGGTGTCCTGCAGTGCAGCGGGTATTTGTCCGGCTCTTGTTTTCTCATCCAGGAGCTGCAGCCCATCCCCATCCTCTCTCGCTGTGACCGGACTCTCTGCTGTGCCTTCCCTGAAGCCTCAGTCTGGGCGCTGGGCGCGCAGCTCCTGCTCTCTCCTGCCAATGGAAATGTAGCGTTGCTGGTATGCCCGAGGTTGCCCGCTTCCTCCGCACTCTCCTGTGGGTCCAGCAGCGTCACCCCGGCAGATCTGCCCGCCATAATTCCCCACTGAGGCAGGGGGTTTCCCAAGCCCTTGGCAACCTGTGCCACCGGCAGCTTGTTTGGGAAAGAGGACATGGGCCAGCCGAAGCTCGGGTGCTCCTTTCTCCCCTTCTCACTCTCAGGTATTGGGTGTGAGGCTTGCTTGGTCCTCAGGGCCAGCTCTAAAGCTTTGCCCATTGCTGTGGCACTCCCAAACCCACCCTGGGAGCTGCATCTCGCCCCAGAGAGGCTGCCAGGCAGCAGGCAAGTCAAAGTGGCAGAGGCCAGCAGCTTGGCAAGAGGGCCTGTGTCTGCCTGGGGCGGAGGCCGGGGTCAGAGCAGGTGACTAAAACCTGTAATTTTCCTCCATCAGCTGCAATTTTCACACAGCAGAGAACACAGCAGGCTGGGATCTCTGGATTTGTTCTTCCAAGCTGTGCTGGGGTAGCGATTTAGCTCTCAAGCAGGAACAAGTGGGTCCTGGGCATCTCTCAGGGTTGCTTTGTTTGCATCGGTTTTGCTCCAGATGAGAAATCACGTGTGTCCTGCTGTCTGCCCGTGTGCTGAACTGAGAAGCTGCCTGCAGCCCAGGGCAGGCTCCAGCCAAAATGAGGCTGTGCTGTGCTTGGGTGCTGGGGCACTGGGTCATGTCAGCAAAGACCTGCTCCAAAAACGCTACCTGCCGTTAGGCAGTCAGGGAGCGAGCTATGGGGTGATAACGTGCCTGACCTGAATCAGAGCAAGTGCAGAAGAACACAGAAGTTAATCCAGGGTTGCAGCGCTTTATGGGATGCAAAAGGCAGGGGAGAAACGCATTTTCTATAGGGCTGCCACCGGACCTTGTTAGAGCACCTGGTAGTGTTTCTGTGTCATGATTTTATTTAATTTTCTGTCTCCGCAGGGCCCTGAGCTCAGCCTGCTGATAAAGTATGATATGGAGTTCCCTCTGTGTGGTGCCAGGCCCCTCTTATCAAAGGGCAATATTTTGGGAATGGAGAATGTAATGGGGAAATGGCAGGGGGTTGCACTCAGGCCTCTTTTGCAACCTGGAAGAGATGAAGCTTCAGCCAGATGGGCTCGGGTACAGAGGGTTTGAGTCCCAAAACCAAATCACTGCCGTTCTGAGCCTGATGCATGTGCACCCCCTTGCTTCCCCCTACCTGCACACCTCCATTGCACACCTGTACCATGCTCCCCGCCTCCCTCCCTCCTGCTGGTCCCCAGCACAGGCCTCCCCCTCTCCCCTGGGCTTGTGCAGGCAGCCCTGCCGCTGTCTCTGCTCCACTCAGGGCAACCAACTCAAGCAGTTTAACCCTGCTCCAGCTTTCATGTCCTCCCTGAATGGGAGAGCAGTCGTACAGACGTCTTGCTGCTCAGCTGCAGGCAAGAGCAGCAGCAGCCTCCCTCCCCTGAAATGCACACACTTGTTCTTGCGTGCACACATCTGCTCCCCGCTTCTCCTCCTCCTCCTCTCCTCACCTGATGCCCTGACCTCCCTCTCCCCTCTGTCTTTCCCAGGCCCCTTGGCAGCCAACCCCCGCACTTCTGCTGCCTCTCCGCCTGCTTCAAGGCCGAGCTCTGCAGCAGACTGCGGTTTGCGTGGCGGTGCAGGGAGTGCTGGAGCCTCGGGAAGGCAGGAGGGTCAGACGATGGCACGCTGGAAATTAATAATGCAGCACCCATTGACTGCAGGCACCGTGTTAATATTGCATTCCCAGGCAAAGCCTGCAGCTCTTTATTTCTTCAAGGCCTCCCAACCTAGGTCTGGTCTGCAGCTCTTTGCAGCTTTTAGGCCAGAAAGCAGAGGACTTTTTGCTGGGTGAGATGTAGAGGCAGATGCCACTTTTTGAGGATGCAGTTCCCACCCTGGGCTCACCAACCCACCCCAGACCCCATACACTGCTCTGCCAGGCTTCCCCTGAGGTCTCAAGCCGTCACCCTCTACACCATGTAGGATAGGTGCGGGATCCCTGTATCTCACCCGTTGTACCTCGAAGGAGGGGACTATCCTGTCCCATTTCCATACACACCCACTCCCACAGACGCTTCCAGCCCTGCATCCCTGCCCACCTTCCACTTCTTCCATCCTTGCCAGGCTGCCTCCTTGCAGTCCCAAACCTGCCGCCCTTTCTGCTGACACCCTCCAGCCCCTCTCCACACCGTCATTTCCACCCTGAGCTGCAACCCACCTCCCTCCACCCCTTCCCCACTGGCATCCCTCTGCCCTTTCTCCCTGCCACAGTCCTGCCCAGGCAGGCAGGGATGCCTCAGCTTGGACCGAGCCCGTTGGGGCTGATGCAAACAGGGTCTGAACCTGCCACGGTCGGGTGCCGTGATTTTCCCGTCCTGCATCCTTCACCAGAGACAAGCACCGCACAAGGGCCCCCGCCTAATGCCTCCCCACCTGGGGGCTTTGGTGAGAAACAGCAATGCCTGCGGCCGCTCCCACTTCCTTCTGGTGGTTTATTTCTCCAGTTTGGGGACCCCCCCATCTCCCCAGCCCCGGGGGTGAGTCCAGGCTGCTGCTCGCCTCTTCAGGCCGTTTGGCTGCAGGAACAGGTGCCGGGGGTCCCTCTGCAGCCCCCCGCAGCCCCCTCAGCGGCAGGAGCACTTGCAGGCAGCCACGACGGGGTAGGGGATCTGCCGCCAGGCACACTGCGGGGGTCCGGGGCTCTGGGGCGCCCAGCAGTGCCAGGCCAGCAGCTTGATGTGGGTGAGCTGCGCGGGGCGGCAGGTCATGCCAGGGGGCCAGGAGCAGCCAGGGGTGCTGGTCTCGCAGGCGGTGTGGCGCACCCAGCGGGGCCAGAAGACGGGTCCCAGATCGACCCAGGTGGAGGTGAGTCGGCAGGCGGCCCG